GTTTTATGTACTGGAGTCGCCGATGGCACAGCTGCCACTGCTTCGACTTTCTCATGCTCCTCCATACGTCGGGGAATACTCACTGGTAGGTCATATGACAAGAAGTAATTGCGGCCCTGCTCCACTCCCCAGTTCCTGCTGAACGCCTTGGTGCCCCCATCCATCTCGCGCCATATTATGGGCTTTCGCCTCCCCCCGAGGCTGTTCACCTGCTTCCACGGCCGCCCCCTCCTGCACTCCACTGGAATGCGCCTGCGATTGAGGGCCACCTTGCCCTAGATGAGTTTCTTCTTCTCTCCTCGCTGAGGTGGTCTCCTGTCACAGACTGGCTCGATATGACACCGTCCACCACCTGTGCGTTCACAGCCTAACACTGCCTTGGCATGAACAACTTTCACCTCTGGATGGCACATCCCTCTTGTGGCTCAGGTGAAGCAGGCTCCTGGGTGAGATTGCCATGCTGTCGCACCTCGATCAGGCCCCGACTGCCTGCCGCTGCCGACCCGTGGATGGACCCCCATGCCTGGCGCGCTCTGCATAGCTTTGACCACAGATCCTGTTCAGCTTGAACTGCCCCTGCGGCGGCAGTTGGCGGCGGCTCGATCTCATCGCCCAAGATCCGCCGCTGTTCTGACACGGCACGCGAGCTGTTCCTTGGAGGCGCCCTCCAGGCCAGCCAGGTGCCCGGCCGAGTCAAAGACCTCAGCTGCCACGGGCTGGCCCGCCGGGCCCGGCGAGGCCGGCGGAACGCGAGCGCCAGCCAGTTGCTGCCCGGGCATGGGCGGGGAGCACAGGAAGCCGATCACGACCTGACGTGGGACCATTTCTGGGCGAGCTCGCCCCCCCCACTTCTCTAGTCCCAAGTGGAGCGACCCCAGTGTTCGCGAGTCCACTCGGAGTCAGCCCACGCCCCCTCGACCACCACCCAAGGGCTACCATGCGCTAGCTGGGCGCTGCGCGGGTCGAGGTTCATCCCAAGGCGGCGCCTCGCCGTAGCGGGCACGCGGGTCGCGATCGGTGGAGGACTGGTGGGAAGCACGCGTCTGTTGCGCGCGGCTTCCACAGTCGCTCGCAGCGCCGGCTGCCTGTCCGCCGTCAGCGACGCAGTCGAAAAGACAGCTGGCGCGAGAGAACCCTGGATCTCTGAACGCATACCAGCGTCGCCCGCAGCCGCGCTGTCCGAGCGCGGAGGGCGACCACACACGGCCGGGCCCGCTGGGGGCAGGCCGTCTGCTTGCTCGGCCTGAGCCGGCGGCCCCGCGGCCTCAGCAGCCGGCGCGGGCCAGGAGGGCGCCAGCGAGCTTGCCGGAGCGCCCGCGCCCGTCGGGGGAACGACGGCGTCGCCCTCGCGGTCCGCCCACCGGGGACGTTGAAACAATTCGATCGCGTGGCTCTCTCCGCGCCCACGCGCCCGCCCGCCGCCGCGGCGCTCGACCTGGCCCAGACTGTCGAGGTCGGGCGACGGAGGCCACAGCGGCGCAATGCGGCCGTCGGCAACGAGGCGGCGCAGGGAGCTCGCCCTGCCCCTCCGGGTCTGGGATGCCGTCGTCACGCAGCGACTGGTCGGAGCATTGCGGGTCGCGGTATCCTTCCTCCACGCCCCTCCCAAATTTTGCAAGCGCCATCCAACTCGCGCTTATCCCGGGCGGGGACCCCACGCGAACGGGGCGGGGGCATCGGCGGGTTCAAGGGTGCCGACCTGGCCCACCAGGGCCCCCCCCCCCCGATTACACCCCACCCCGAATCGCCCAAGGATGGGCGGGCATGGCGCACGCAGGATTGGAAGGATTGGCGGCGTAGCGTCGACAAGATTGGCGGCGCAACATCGTCAGGATTGGCGCGCGCAGGAGTGGGAACGAGAACCAGGACGTCGTCGCCCTGCCCCTGCACCTCCGCGCTGCCGTCCGCCGATGCCAGCAGGGTCCTCGGAGAGGATCGGGCACCCCCGCTCCGCGGCATCGCTGGACGCCAACACTGAGAGGCCGTAGCCGCGTGACCCGACAGCGAAACCCGCGGGCTGGACCTCCGCGACCACGTCGACGGCCCCCTTTTCATCTCGACGCCCCCCTCCCCCTCCGCGGCCACCACCTTGCACCCCTCCTCCTCCGCCTCCTCGTCGATCCTCCCGATGCCCACCTCCACGACCTCCTCCGCCTCGGTCTCCTGGCACCCCCATGCCCTCCTTGACCGCGCCGCCACTGACAGGGCTGGCTGCCCCCACGCGCGCTCATCGGGGCGCTGTAGCAGATGATGGCGGGCTTCAGCTTCACGCCCAGCATCCCGCTGCGCGGCGCCAGGGCCGGCGGCCGCTGCCCATGCCTGCCCTTCTCGCGCGCGCTGAAAGGGGCGCTGGGGCAGATGGCGGGGGGGCTCAGCTTCCTTCCCTCCATCTCTCGGAGCAGCGCCAGGACCAGATGCCACTGCACCTGCCCTCTTGCGCGCACTGGCCAGGGCCCTGTAGGAGATAATGGAGGGCGCCAGCTTCGCTCCCAAAATCTTGCCGCGCACGTTCGTCTCGCAAGTGCTGATCGGGGCGCTGTTGCTGATGAGGGCGGGCTCCAGCTTAACTCCCAGAGTTTCGCTGCATGAGCAGTGCCAGGGCTGGCTGCCACTGACCACTGACCCTGCCTGTCTTTTTCGCGAGCGCTGATCCGGATGCTGGGGTGGGTGATGGTGGGTTCCTTCTCCGCACGCGCCGGTCGGGGTGCTGGAGCGGTTGACGGCGACCGATGGCCGACTGCCCGCCACGGCGCCCGCCGCGAGCTCGGCGGCCTGCGCCAGCCCTCCAGCGGCGGCCCAGAAGGCGGCCCGAGCCGCCGCAGCGGCGGCCGCGGCGCAAGCGCTGGCGGGGATCGCGGCGGCCGCGCCAGGCGAATCGAACGCGCCGACGCCAGGGGCAGGGCCGCAGCTTCGACCGCGCTGGCGGCGCAAGCCGCAGGGCGGCGCACTCGGGCCGCGCCGACATGCCCGTGGACGTCGGCAGCGCCCAGGGCGCCTACAGAAGCGAGAGGACGAGCAGCCCAGCCAGCGCCGACCCTCCAGGGGCGTCAGCTGCGACGGTCGAAGCGGCGGCACCAGCACCGCTTGAAGCGATCCCACCAGCCGCGCCAGCAACGCCAGGGAGTACGGCGCGCCGGCCGCGTCAGCGGCGTCGATCGCGCCGACGCCAGGAACAGCGTCAGCAGCTTCGACCGCGCTGACGGCACCAGCGGCGCCAGCAGGACAGCGCACTCGGGCCGCGCCGACATGCCCGTGGGCGTTGGCATCGCCCAAGGCGCCTGCGGGGGCGAGAGGGCGAGCAGCCCCGCCCGCGCCGACCGCCCAAGGGGCGTCAGCAGCGAGAACCGAGGCAGGAGGCGGCGGCGCCAGCGGCGCCGGAAGCGCTCCCAACAACAGGCGCGCCGCCGAGAGCGGCCGCGCCCGTCGCGCCAGCAGCACCAGCCGCGCCAGCGGTGCCAGAGAGCCCTGGAAGGCCCTCGTCGACCAGGGCGCCGGCAGCGGCGGCAGCCAATCGGCGACCGGCAGCAGCACGGGCTTGCCGTCGTCGCCGCGCCACCACGGTTTCCATCATGCCGGGACCAGGGCGCCGCACCTGAGCCAGGGGAGTGCTCGAGCCCAGACGGCTTGAGCCAAAGGTTACGGACATTCCTTGAAAGCACACAGATACGCACAGCGTAGAACACATCGCGTGTTTACTCGCAGGTGGTTTCCGTTGACGCTTCCACACGTGAGCCTATGGACTAGCAAACGCAAATTCTCCAAAACCCAAAAGTTCGGGTTCTTCCTGGGGCCATCTGAAAGAGAATGATCACCGCTCCTTGCAGATTCTGCGCACAACCTGCGCCTCGGATCTTCAAACCCAAGGAGGTCTCAGGCAAAAGCCCCAGTCTGACGAAGAGCTGCCCTTGGCCTGTGCGACTCGCGCAACGTCAAGAAGTCGTTGGGGAACCTGGGCATAAAATGTGCCGACCTTTCTGAGGGGAGGGGGGCGACCGACCTGCCGTCGGCCTCCGCCAAGCTCCTGCTTCCGCCTCCGCCGGCCCAAATGCCGACCTCGGCCAGCGTCTTGTGGACCTTCCGCGGGCCCCTGCCGAGAGCGAGAGACCAATTCCTCGATTCGTCGAAGAAGAGCAAGAAGGAGAAGTCCCTGGTGGAGCGATCTGCACGCGTCCTTCGGGACGAAGCGTCCCTCCAGGAACCCCGATCTGGCCGAACGTGGCGCATGCCCCCCAGAAAGATCACGATGATGACGTCGTCGTCGTCGTCGACGACGACGACGATGGCAACGACGGCAGCGACGGCAACAACGTCAACCCTGACCACGACGACGACGAGGACGACGATGACGACGACGAAGACGACGACGACGACGACGACGACGACGACGACGACGACGACGACGACGGCGACAAATAGGATGGCCCCACCATCTTTCTCCTCCCTGCACAGTCTTTCTCATCCTCCTCCTCCGCCCCCTCCTCCCCCCACCTCTTCCTCCTCTTCATCCCTCCACCGTCGACGTTCTTCCTCCCCCCACCCCCCTCCCTCCTGCTCCCCCCTCCCTCCTCCCTCACTCCTCCTCTTCCTCTCCAGCCCTCCCTGGATTTCCGATTCCTTGATCTTCCAGCCCGCGGGCCCCAGAGCGCTCCCGACCCTCTCCCAACAGGGCAGTTGTTTCTCGCCCTTCGGCCATGTTTGATGGCCATGGGCCCCCCCGTCGCCGAAAAAGACTTAGACATGCGGGGCAAAAAGGTACACGTGCCGCAACTGCCTGGACCTTTGAAAGGGTGCATTCTGACCAGAATTTCGAGGCGAATCCAGCCGTGGTGACGAAGGAAGGAAAGGACACCAATGTCGGTGGCCTTCGCCACTTCTGATGCACCCAAACAGCGCCTGTAGATTGACAGAAACAGTCCGCCTAAACTCTGGGCCTCGGGCGGCCAGGCGGCGGCCACGCCCAGGCGGCGAGAGGTGGCCTGCAGCAGCGCCGCGACGGCGGCAGCGGCGCCGTCGCCGAGGGCGGCGTCCGCCACGTGGAGGACCTGGGCGGGGGTGCCGGCCGATGTTCCAGGCGCGGTCTCGCTGGTGCGGGACAACGCAACCCTGGAAGGTCTTTAGGACCACACCCCCAATAGGGGGTAACTAACTAATTGTTCGGCGGCCTTATTGAAGAACTGGGGTCCCATCAATAGGGGGTACCCAATCATTTTTTTCCGCGGCACCCGCCGCGCAACGACGACGGCGACGACGACGACGACCATTACGGTTGAGAAGGGGATAGGCTCGGGGGGGGGGCGGGGATCATCGAGCTGGAATCGGCGATCTCTCGCCGGTGGAGGCCTCATAGCCCGCCCCTTTCCCGGCACGTGCGGATTCGCTATCGGGGGCCTATTGCCCATCTGTCGGCGATGCCTCGCCGACTCCAGCACGATGCGCCTTTCCCCCCCGCCCTGCGCCCATTCCCCCCCTCACGCTGCCCCCGAGCTGGGGAGGGGGCGGCCGCGCTGGCGCCGGGGGCGGCCCGCGGATCGAGGCTGCAGGTTCGTTTGCGTCTTCCGCCCTTCTCATGGGGCCCCCCCCCCTTCGGGGCCTCCTCGCTGGGCCCGCCTCGAGACTCTGGCCGGAGCGCGCCCCGGGACGGGCCCGGGGGTCGACTCCGGAGGCACGGGCCCAGGCCGCCCCGCGTCGCGGCGGGATCACGACGCGGGGCCTCTCGCCCCTTGCGGCCCCCAGGGGGCTCCCTGCCAGGCCCCGGGGCCGCCGGAGCACAGCTCGAGACGAGAAGCCGGTCCGGGAGGAGGGGTCGAGGCCTCGAGGGGCCCAGGCTGCGATAGGATCAGAAGCGGAGTGCTGAAGCAAGACGCGGCCACAGCGAAATGCGACCAGCGCGCGCGGACCGAAAGGCTGCCGCCAAAAATCCGCGTCGGGGGGCCTGCGCTGTGGAGCCAGCGCTCCAGCGCGATCCTCGCGGGGGGGGCGGGCGGCGGGCGCCGAGGCCTCGTGGCGGTGCCCACGCGCGAGCGGAGGCGGCAAGGAAGAGCGGGGGCGGCCTCCGGGGGAGGCAGGGGCGGGCTTCTCCGGAGCGGGCCGCCCGCCCCTGTGAGCACGGGCCCCGCGCCTGCGGCCAAGAGGGGGGCGTCCAAGAGGGGGGGTCGCAAATCATGGCCGGCGGCATGTGCGCAGTCCAGGGGGGTGGGCCAGGGACGTATTGAAATAAGAAGAGGCGCGATGGAATCTGAGGAAATATCATGACCCACGCCATGATATCCACCCCCCTCCCTAGTCATCACCCCCCTCTTTGCCGCCCCCGAGGTGGGGGGGGCCTGCTTGCCCTGGCGCCCAGCCCACAGGCCCGATCAGGACTGCTCGAAACTTCGCTCAGAATCTAGAACCAAAGTCCTGTTTCTTTGTTTGGGGAAAATGGGAGCCGACAGCAATAATGAGCCTTCAGCCACATGCGCCTGCCGCAGGATAGGAGACCAGCACGTTGCACTGAGCGACGGAGGAAATAAATCTCTCTGGCGGCTCTTGCACTAACGTGTCTGGGAGGGGCGGGGCGAAAAAATCGACGTTGGAGGAGAAAAGGAGGAGGAGAGAAGGGGGACAGAAGGCGTACGATACGAATTTGCCCTTAAACGTATCGCCCCTGGGTGTGACAGCAAGGTGGGTGTCAATCCCTGCCGAATGGCCCAGACGGCCAAATCAGCGACATCCACACAACATAAAACTTTAAAAGGAGAGGCAGAGGAGGTGCAGGAGGAGGAGGAGGAGGAGGAGGAGCGACAACGGATTTAGCACGCTGTGTGCACAGATCCCCCAAGGCCCAAGCGGCCAGCGATATTCCACACAAGCGAATCCCCACGGCACCAAGCGAGGCACAGCGCAAACTGGCCCACCTTGTCCGGATCGAAAGCTGAGATCCTAGTATGTTTACGGCTGAAGCAGAGCAGCGGCGGCAGCGGGAGAAGCAAGAAAGGGTGGAGAGAGAAGCTACTGCATTGGAGCCCACTCGCGAGCGACGCAAGCCGTCGCAGCGCCATGGCCGCGCACTATCTCCTTGGCCGTGTGGGCGAGAGCCTGCAAGCAAGCGGGCCAGCAGCTTCTGGAGAGTGCCCGCGCCGACATTGTAAAATGCACACGGCCGCGATGCGGATGCTCTTCCTCATCTTCCTCATCTGCATTCGTTCTTCAATTGGATTCTGCCGTCGATCACTTCACGGAGGCTGGCTTCGGGACCCAGCGGATCCAAGCACGAATCCTAGGACATCTTGGTCCTCGTGCCCCGGAGGACCTCCTCACTCTCCGGCGCCAGTGGCAGAAGACATGTCGTGCTATTGTTGAGCCGTCGATCCGCGCCACCCTCGAGCTCTTCATGCGGCGGCGGCTGGCGCGGTTGGGTCACGAGCCGCCGTTTTCAAGAGCAGAGTCGATGTATCTTCGGGTGCGCGTGCGAGGACAGCATCGAGCACCAAGACCACCAAAGTCCTGGTGTTACGTTTCCCTACCATCCTGTTGTGCTGGACCTCGCTTTGAGACCGCAGCGCCCCGCGTCACATCACCTCACTTCCTCCCCTTCCTCTTTCCCCCTCCCTCCTCCCCCTCCCCTCCTTGCCTCTGTTCTCCATATCCTTCTCCCCTCCTTGCCTCTGCTTTTCGCATGTCCACATGCACTTCGCGGCCCCGTGGGGAGTTCCGCCTGAGGCCCCAGTGGCGACGTCCGCATGGCGGCGGTGCCTGATTTCGGTGCACCCCTCACACGCTTCGTGGCCCCGTGGGGAGCTCCACCTCAGGCCGCAGTGGCGACGTCCGCATGGCGGCGGTGCCGCATTTCGGCGCACACCTCACACGATTCGTGGCTCCTCCTCCAATGCAAGATGTCACGGCGCCCATGGCGTCAGCGTGCCTCCTCAAAAAATGTGCCACGGCGCATCTGGCGTTAGCGTCGCCCTGCAAAAAATGCCAAGGCAAGCATGGCGTTAACGTCCCCCTGCAAGCACATATGTCACGGCGAGCGTTCAGGAGCCTCTCAGCGCCCCCTGGTCCCCAAACTCAAAATCCCCCCCCCAAAAAAAGTGCGTCGATACCCGACGGATTCCTTTATAAGCGTGGCCAATCTGGACTTCCCGGGGCCTCCCGCGGGGTCCCTCCCCCCCAGCACTGGGGTCCAGAATGCGACAGTTAAGATGATCTGCACTCTCCATCGCCACACATGGCGGTAGCGTCCCCCGACAACAAAAGCGTGTCACGGCGAACATTAGGGAGCCTCTCTGTGCCCAGCAGGATCCGGATAATCTGGGCGACGCAAACGTAGCTGGCTCCTTTTGTAAATGTGGCCGGTCTGGGCCTCCAAGGGCCTCCCATGGGCCCCCCCAGCCCGAGGGTCCAGAATGCGATAATTACTATGATCTGCAATCTCGGCGAACATGGCGTCAGCGTCCCCCTGCAAAAATGAACCCCGCGCGAACGCAAGTAGGGGAAAGCTTCTCATTGTACAGACTCATTGCTTGACGTTGCTTGTCATTGCTTGGCATTGCTTTGCATTGCTTCGCATTTCTTTTCATTGCTTGGCGTTGCTTGGCATTGCTTGACATTGTTTGGCATTGCTTGGCGTTGATTTGCATTGCTTCGCATTTCTTTTCATTGCTTGACATTGCTTGGCATTGCTTGGCGTTGATTGGTACTGCTTGGTATTTCGCGATATCGCTTTGCATGGATTGGCATCGTTTTGCATTGCCTGGCGTTGCTTGGGATTGCTTGACATTGCGTTGCAAGGCCAGGGAACCCGACAAACCCAAACAAGGAACAAGACCAGGAAGACCGAGGACTCCGAGGAACAAGACCAGAGAACCCGAGGAACCCAAACAAAAAACAAGACTCGGGAATCCGAGGAACCCGAGCAAGGATCAAGACCGGCGAACCCGAGGATTAAGGCTGGGGAGCCCGAGGAAGGAAGGCAAGCAACAAGACCGTGGAACCCAAGGCCCAGTAATGAAACCGGCGCGACCCCAATTGGGGGAACGCTTCCTAGGCGGCGTTGCTTAGAATTGCTTGGCATTGCTTTGCTTTGCTTTACTTTGCTTTGCTTTGCATTGCTCGGCATTGCTTGGTGTTGCTTGGTTTTGCTTGACAATGCTTGGCGTTGCTTGCCATTGCTTGGTACTGCTTTGCATTGCTTGGCATTGCGTGGCATTGCCTTGCATCGCTTGGCATTGCTTGGCGCTGCTTGGCGTTGAGTGGCATTACTTGGCGTTACTTTGCATTGCTTGGCGTTGCTTGACGTTGCATGGCATTGCTTGGCATTGCTTGGCGTTGCTTGGCATTGCTTTGCACTGCTTTGATCTGATTGGCGTTGCTTGGCGGTGCCTGGCGTTGCCTGGCGTTGCCTGGCACCGCTGGGAAACAAGACCAACAACTAGGGCGGGGAGAGGAGGAAACTAATCCCCAGACGCATCCTGGACACCATGCTGGCCACCTTTTCGAGCTACGCCCGGCCGTGCCCGCGAGACCCACGCGCCCCTGGAGGCCCAGGGAAAATGGCCGAGAGACCAAAATCACAACTCCTCCCAGTTGGCATGAGGGAACAAGGCCCCGGTGGAACCAAGTCCTGGCCCATGGGGCTTTCCCCAGAACTAGCTTTTCATCCCAAGTCGCTTTTTTGACGGTGGCCAGGCAAAGGCCCTAAGAGACCGAAACCAGTGCGAACCTCCACACACCCCTCCATTCCTCAAGGATCCCCTCTCCGGACGGCGACCCCGTCTCCTCTCCCGGGGCGCACTTCGACCAGGACCTCTCCTAGAGTGCGCTTCGACCGGAATTTCGAGGCGGATCCAGCCGTGGCGACAAAGGGCCTCCTGGAGGCCAAAAAAGCTAACGACTCCGACGGTAGGATCTTCTTGGTGCACATGTACGTGACCCTCGACGACTAACGATGGTGATGACGCTAGGATGACAAGATGCCAGAACACCAGGAAGCCAGAACGCCAAGAAAGCAGGGAGCCAGGATGCCAGGATGCCGTGATGCCGTGATGCCAGGCGGCCGGGATGCCAGGCAGCCAGGAGGCCCGGATGCCTGGACGCCTGCATGGCAAGATCCCAGGATGCCAGGAAGACTGCGCAATGTTTGGAACAAAATTGGGCACGTGTGACATGTGGGACCCGTGGGGCCTGTGGATCATGTGGGACTTGTGCGTCCTGTGGGAGCTGTAGGACGAGTGCCACGTGTGGGGCCTGTGGAGCGTGTGGGACTTGTGAGACCTATAGGATCTGTACGACCTGTGCGACCTGTGGGACCTTTGAAACATGTTAGGCCTGTGGGACCTGTGCGACCTGTGGGGCATGTGCGACTTGCGCGACTCTGCCAGACCTGCGGGGCCTGTGCCTGGATGCCTCGGATGCTTCGTATGCCAGAGATGCGAAGATGCCAGTGAAGCCAGGACGCCAAGCTGCCAGGATGCAAAAATGACCGGCTGCGAGCGCTAAATCGATCCCAGGAGTAGGAGTTCTGGGAGCACGAAGAGCCCGAAGTGGTCTAGAGCTGGCTCCAGAAATTCAAAACTAGTCCCAGGAGTTGAGCTCTCGAAGCACGAGTAACCCGAAGCGGCCTACAATTAGCCCTGGACATACAAAATCACCCCAGTAGTGGAGTTCTGCGAGCAGGAAGAGCCCGAAGTGGATTGACGCTGGTTTCGGACATGCAAGACGAGGCCTGGGAGTGGAGTTCTCGGAGACTTCCTGCCCACGATTGACTCAAAAACGAGGCTCCCGCTCCAGACGTCCTGTATCCGCCACCATGCCCTGAGGCATGAGTTAGAGTGTCCTCAGGCCCTTGTCCTAATCCTAGAGGCCTGTCCACGATCCTGAGGAATTGAAAAAACGGCCCAGACCCCTAGCTCTCACATCTCACGGGGCTTGCCGCATACCCTCTGGGGTGGCGCGTGACTTTCTCGAGGCCAGGAGGGCACCCATTGTCGTTGTCGTCGTGGTCGTCGTCGTGGTCGTCGTCATCCCGGCCGTAGGGCTTTCAAATCTTGCGGGACTCGCCGCATGCCCTCTGGGGTGGCGCATGACTTTCTCGGGGCCGGGAGGGCCCCAAGACGGGCCAAGAAGGCCCAGAGGGGTCGCCCAGACGGTGCAAGGCAGCCCCAAATCGCCGCACGATCGGTCCAATCCGAGACACAGACGGCCGAAGAAGGCTTCGAGACGTCCCAAGAGAACCCCAAGGGCCCCGAGAAGGCAAAATCATTGATTTTCCGGTGGTCTTTCAATTTTCTTTGGTTCTCCACTTTTCGAGCTTCCGACGCTCCAAGACGTCCTAAGAGACCCCCAAGACCGCCCCAGGACGGCCCGAGAGTCCCCCAAGAGGGCCCCTAGACGGCCGAAGAGTGCCCCAAGACAACCCAAGAGGCGCCCAAGACGGCCCAAGAGGGCTCCAACGACCCCCAAAGGAGCCCAAGAGGGGGAACACGAATCGAGAATCCGAGCCTTCCGCCCCAAGAAGCACCCAGGAGGCCCCAAGAGGCCCCCAAAAGGCCCCAATGGGCCCCCAAGAGGTCCAAAAGAGGCCCAAAAACAGCCCCCCGAGTGCGTCGAAACTGCCTCCAAGATGCCCCCGAGAGGTCTCGACGAGATCCCAAGGAACACGCAAGAGGCATCAGACCCACAACCCAGGCACGGTGGCGGGATGGGCCGACGGCCACTGTGCAAATGTATGAGTGTGCGGAGCACGAGGTCTCCAGTTGGCCCCAGAAATGTGAAACTGACTCCATGAATGGAGTTCTGGGAGCACGGACTGCCCAAAGTGGCCCACAGTTGGCTCTGGACGCTGAAAATCTGAATGGTTCTGGGAGCACGAAGAGCCCGAAGACGCATATTCTTGGCTCTGGACATGCAAAATGAAGCCTGGGGGGGAAGTTATGGGAACTCGAAGAACACGAAGTTGCCGACCTCAAAGTCAACGCTGGGAATGGAGTCCTGGCGACTCGGTGATCACATAACCATGTGTTTTTGCACGTATGCCGATGGCCGCCTCGGACTAGTAGCATGAAGTGCGGGTGGTGATGGTGGTGGTCATGATGATGATGGTGTGAGAGTGATGATGTGAATGATGACTATGCTGCTGACGGAGGGTGGGAGATGCTGGTGATACTGATGATGTTAGTGATGATGAGCGATAATGAGTAAGAAATGGTGGTGATGATGGTGGGTGGTGATGGTAATCATGGTGATTATGATGATGATGATGAAGAAGTAGGAGTAGAGGAGGAGGAGGAGGAGGAGGAGGAGGAGAAGAGGAACATGAAAAGGGGGTGTGCTCCTGCGCGGAGGGTGCAAAGAAAACAACAATACACTTAGGATGTGGAAAGCCAAAACCCTTCTCAGGATGCTGGGACAAACGCCAAGAACCGCAAACCTCGAACCTCCGACGCTTAAAATCTGGGAACACATCTATGAACCTGCAATGCCACAAGCCCAGGAGCCGCGTCGGCCTGCGCCGGGAAGCTCAGGTCGATGCCCAGGCTCGCAGGTCCGTCCTCTGGCGATGCCTAATCCTGCAAACCCAACTCCGAGTCGGGTGTGGACTCTCAGGCATAGCCATGTTACCTGCGAGCGCCGTACGAAACGGGACATCTGACGGTGTGCACTTCGGCTGGCATTTCGAGGCGCCGAGGGGAGGCCCAGATGGGCGAGAAACACCCAGAACCCGCGATCCTCGATCACCGAGCATCGTTTCCATGGCAATGCGTGACTGCATATACTCTGCATGAGTAGCTGCAGGTATGCATGCTTGCATGCACGCACGCGCGCATCTCTTGCGTGTATTTGCGGAGCGAACCGTAGCCACCGAGGCTCGAGTCTAGAAGTCATCAGACACGTCTTAGAGCCAGGTGGGAAAAAATGCGCAATCACAGTTTGACTGGGGTCGTTCAAGAGGGGGGCCATGAAAATCTGGGCAAACGTCATGGCCCCAGCCATGATGTCCCCCCTCTTTGGTCACCACCCCCATCCTGGCCGCCCCCAACTCTTGCCATCGCTCGGACGTCCCTTCCCCGTGCACTTGTCGGCTTCGCGCGTCTATTTTTCGCACGATGATCCAGGATGCTCCGCGATGGTCCTCGCCGAGAGAAAGTGCACACGTCCGAGCGATACCAAGGACTTAAGAGCTAGGTGGTTTCATCGCTCGCCCCGAGGCCTGCAGCCCTGGCAGCGGCGCGGCCCGCAGGCGCGAGGCCAGCGCCTCGGCCCCGCGGTCGCCCAGGCCGCACGCGCCCAGGTCCAGCGTGCGGAGTCCAGCGGCGGCGGGGAGCGCCGCGGCCAGCAGCTCCGCCCCCTACCCAGGGGCCGTCGCCGCCGCCGCCCGCAGCAGCGCCGGCGTCGGCGTCGCCGATGGCGTCGCGGCCGCCGCCGCCGTGGTCGCCGCCCACGCCGTGTCGCCGCGTCACCGCCTGCGCCCACTGCCAGGGCACCGCCCATCGCGGCGGTTGTCGTCGCCGTCGCCGTCTCCGCCGTTGCGTCGCCGCGGTCGTCGCCGTGGTCGTCGCCGAAGATGACAATGGTGGCGGCCGCCCGACGCCGACGATGTGGCGGTGGCGGCCGCAACGACGGCGACGGCGACGGCAACGCCACCAACGCGGCCGCCGCGGACGCCGCCGCTGCCAACGGACGCCGCCGACGCGGACGGCGCCGACGCAGCCACTGCCGACGGCGAGCGGCCGCCACTGCCAACGGACGCGCCGACGCGGCCGGCGCCGACGCAGCCACTGCCGACGGCGAGCGGCGGCGGCGGTGGCGGCAGTCCTGGACGCCCAGGGACGAGCCGTCCACGAAGGCGTGCTGTACCGCGGGCAGCGCAAGAAGCGCCGCGCGCAGGGGCTCCTCTCCGGGTGGGCGGACGCTTGTCGCCGTACCGCCGCCACCGTCGTCGCCGTCCTTGGTCGAGGACGTCGTCGTCGTCGGCCTCGGCGTCGTCGTCGTCGGTTTCGTCGTCGGCCTCGTCGTCGTCGAGGACGTCGTCGTCGTCGTCGTCGTCGTCGTCGTCGGCGACGGCGTCGTCGGCGTTTTAACTGACGTCGTCGTCGTTTCCGCTGGAGTCGTCGTCGGTTTCGTCGTCGCGTCGCGGGTCGTCGGCCTCCTCGTCGTAGTCGTCGTCGTCGTTGTCGTCGTTGTCGTCGTCGTCGTCTTCGTCGTCGGCCTCGTCGTCGTCGTCCTCCTCCTCCTCCTCCTCCTCCTCCTCCTCGTCGTCCTCGTCGTCGTCGTCTTCGTCCTCCCTCGCTGGGGCCGCGCCGCCGCCGCAGGGCCGCGGGTCCGCCGGATCGGCCGCTGGGCCCGCGGAGATCTCGGGCGGCGGTCGGATGGTCAGGGAGGCTCACGGTCGGCGGCGAGCGAGGGGGGGAAGCGAGGAGGAGGCCTTCTCAGAAGGCGGCGGGGCTTCTCGGAAGCCCTCGCGCCTTCCGAGGATTTGGCTGTGTCTTCGGGGCAGGCTTAGAAAACTTCTCTGAAGGCCAGGGGACTTTCGAGTCTTCTGAGAAGGCCCGCCCCTTCTCACTTCCCCCCCTCGCTCGACGCCGACTGCCACAAGAAACCCAACCCTGAGATCCCAGGACGTCCATCGGTTTTGGGTGTGGGAGCGTCGAAACCCAAGAAACCCAGGGCAGCCTGGAGGCAAGAAGGGTGTTTCTTGGCATGGGCCCCCACTGTATGGCTTTTCCGAGGCAGCGGCTCCAACTGCTCCACGCCCGATCCGCCCAGCCGTCCGCCCCGCTCGCGGGGCAGGCTCGTGTTAGAGTTTTGGAAGGCGTTGGGCCCTCTTCGGTCCCCATGGAGGCGCCCGTCCCGGGGCCTGTGGGGCCTGGGGGACCTCCGGGGGACCTGGAGACCTGTGGAGCCGACGGCGATGACGACGACGACGACGACGACGACGACGACGAGGACCTGCGATCGACCACCCCGACGGAGACTTCCTCTGAGTCTCAAAGGTTCTCAGAAGTCTTCGGGGGTTCCTGTAGGGCTTCGGCCCCCTAGGTGTTTTCCATGAGCTTCGCCCCGCCCAAGGCCTTCTAGGGAGGCTGGAATCGTCCCGAACGGCCGCATGGGGCCGGAGGTCTTGCCCAGAAGCCAGCGCCAGGGATGAAGGTTCTCAGGTTCTCACGGCAGTCGTGAAAAGATCACGGCGGGCGTTCCTGCCCCGACTGAGGCCCTGGGACCCTGAGAAATCGGTCCAAACCACGGAACTCCTCACAAAGACGGGGGCGAGGGCTCCGATCTTGGTGTCTCAATACCAATACGTCTTTATGTTTCACGACATCGGATGTCAGGGCCATTGCCCACCATCCAATCCCTACATGCCACCCCTTGACAACAGAAAATCCGCCATTACTGATTAAGCTAGGGTCTTGGGGGATGCTGGGGGCCGATATCCACCGAAGACGTGGGCCCAGCTCGGGCCTGTGGAAGCTTGGTGATTGAAGCGCTCTTCATCTGAACCCTCCCTGTGGATTCCTTCCCCCCCCTCATCTTCCAAAAACCCTATACACTGAAAATTGCCCGAGACGTGCCCAACCCCTTCTCCACGCGAGGCGACTATTCATATAAAGGCTCCCTAAGAAAGAACACACTGCGAAATATGCACGATCTGCGTGGCCCTGCACTCCGCCGAGCCTCCCAGGAGCCTGCGAAAGTGGCGACGGCTGCGCAGTTCGCAGCACCCAAAAGGCCTCACAGGGATCCCCGCTGCCCTCGCCCCCGCCGTGCCTCCCAGAAGCCCACAAACATGGCGACGGTTGCGCAGTTCGCAGCCTGCGACAAGGCCGCGAGGTCTCAAACGTTTCCCCGCTGCCCTCACCTCCGCCGAGCCTCCCAGGAGCCCACAAAAATGGCGACGGTTGCGGAGTTCGCAGCCCTCGATATTGCCGCGACGTCCTAAAGGCATCCCCGCTGCCCTCATCTCCGCCGTGCCTCCCAGGAGCGGAGCCCACGAAAGTGACGACGGTTGCGCAGTTCGCAGCCCCCGACAGAAGCGCGAGGCTTAAAATGAATCCCAGCTGCCCTCATCTCCGCTGTGTCCCCCGGGAGCCCACGGAGGTGGCGACGGTTGCGCAGTTCGCAGCCCCCACGGAGCCACGAGGTCTCAAAAAGATCCCCGCTGCCTTCACCTCCGCCGTGCCTCCAAGGAGCCCACGGAATTGGCGACGGTCGCGCAATTCGCAGCCTCCCATGGAGCTGCAAGGTCTCACGTGACTGCCGCCTCTGCTGGACATCCCGTGAGCCCACGAAAGTGGCGACGGCTGCACAATTCACAGCCCCCGAGAGAGCCGCGAGGTCTCACAGGGACCCCCGCTGCCCTCATCTCCACCGTGCCTCCCAGGAGCGGAGTCCACGAAAGTGGCGACGGTTGCACAGGTCGCAGCCCCCGAGGGAGCAGCGAGGTCTCCAATGGATCCCCGCTGCTCTCATTGGCTCCACAGTCCTTTTCCTCATAAACAGCTCCTCTCTGTCGCACCCCGAGGCCAGTCGAAGTGCGGGCCGGGCGCGTCGCCTGAAATTTCCAAAACCATGTATGACCCTGAAGCTGCAAACATGTGCTAGAACTTCGCAGATGGAGGGCGGGCGGCTGTGAGAGTATAGCTCTCGCCTTAGCGCCGCGCACACTCGTTTCACCTAATTGCAAGAGCTTCACGCATTGAGGGCGGGCAGTTTTCAAAATGAGGCTCTCGCCTTAGCGCCGCGCACACTCGTTTCACCAAATTGCAAGAGCTTCACGGGTTGAGAGCGGTTCCTTTTTCAAAATGAGGCTCTCGCAACAGCGCCGCGCGCATTCGTCTGAAAAATGTGCAAGAGCTTCACGGATTGAGGGCGGCTCCTTTTCAAAATGTGGGTCTCGCCTCAGCGCCGCGCGCATTCGTCAACATTTGCAAGAGTTCTGCTGGTTCCCATGGTCAACGTACCAGAAAATATATTCTGGCATGATTCACGGCTGTTCGGGTGCAACAGTTACGTTGACTCGCGGTGTTGAAGTCCCAGGAATAATGTTCTGGCACGGTTCAGCACCGTCAAAATGTAACAGTCAAGTTAATTCGTGGCGTTGGAGTCCCGAGAATGGTGTTCTGGCACGCTTCAGGATCTTCAAGTTGTTGTCTCCCAACGGGGCACCTCCCTCAGCGGGATTGAATCCTTGTAGGGGCCTGTGAAGAGGGAGCTTGGAGGGAGGGTTTCTTCCAACATCGTTGGTGAGTCTTGGGTTTGCACTGGTCCTCCCTCTTCCTCCTCCTCCTCCTCCTCCTCCTCCGCCTCCGCCTCCTCCTCACAACAATCAGACTCATCATCAACAGCATCGTCATCATAATCATCATCAGTATTATCACCATCAACATATTCATCTCCATCATCAACATCATCATCCTCGTCATCATCATCATCATCAGCAACGTCAGCATCATCATCAGCAGCATCATCAACATCACCGTCACTATAATCATCATCATCATCATCAGCATCATCATCATCATCAGCATCATCATCATCATCATCATCATCATCATTTTTTTTCAACCAGCGCGATGATATGACATGTGCGTGACGTGGCGTGTCATCTCTGCAGATTTCCACCGTGCCCTCCAGGGGCCTCTTTCCCGGCCATTGGCTATCGGCACCAGCACGCGAGCGGCGGCCAACGCAGAAAACTGCGGACCTGAAACTTCGAACTGCCGCCGCCTCCACGGATAGAAAAAAAAAAAAAAGGCGACAAGCACGACCTAAACAGTCGTGTGCGTACGGCGATCCGCTTCCCCTCATGGGGGCCATAGCCGCTCCCACCGATGAGCCAGGGCCGGCCGAGTAAACGTCACCACATTCAGGGGGGAGGAAGAGGAAGAGGAAGAGGAGGAGGAGGAGGAGAAGAGGCGAGAGAATCCTGTCAAAGGCCAGGAGCAGCGCCGCTCAAGCCAACCTGCCATAGGCGAGCCGTCGCGCGCGTCCGGGGACAGGGATAACCGGCAGAAGTGCAGATTTCTTTGCATCGGAGGTCATCGCCCGACTGCCTGTCAGTCTGGGCTCCCGCATGACCAGGGCAGTGCAAGCGTGGAGAAAAAGGCAACACGGAACCGACACCGAGGAGGAGGAGGAGGAGGAGGAGGAAGAGGAGAGAAGGACAGGCAAAGCAACTTGCGGCGGATGCTGCGGATTACCCTGCACCCTCTACACCGAAGGCGCGTGGTGCTTTACATGCGTTCCATGATGCCTCGGAACTGGGATCTGTACAACCAGCAAGGGTCCACTGCGCCACTCTGGTGCCGAAGGTGGGCTGTGGCGGTGTAACAACAGTACACATGTATAGCTACATATTTGTACGAATCCCTCCAGGCCCTCCCGAGGAGAAAATCGCGGAACGTCCATTCGCTAAAATCTATGTGTGCGTACCGGCGGGCTGCCTCCATCAGGACTGGGCAGCGCCAGTAATGCTCTATCGAATCGGATGCAAATTCTGCCATGCAGCACAAACACGGCGCTTGTTGCTGGAAGCGCCGGGCGCAAGTCCACCCATTGAAAACAGTGTGAAAGCAGCCAGAAACCACGGCTGGTGGTACGCTACCCCTGAGGTGGGAAAAATTGCGAGTTATATGTTCAGCAGTAGCACCTACACGTGTTAGCCCTATGAGGTCGCGCCAAGCGCGGCGACGGCCGAGGCGCCGACGGATAACATCTTCAGGCACGATGGCATGAAAGCTGGCATGCAATCATCATCATCATCATCATCATCGTCATCATCATCATCATCGTCAGCAGCAGCAGCATCATCAGCAGCATTGTTGGCGTCATCCTCATCGTCAGCTTCTTCATCATCATCATGTTCACCCTCATCATCAGCATCATCAGTTTCATCATCAGCTTCCTCTTACTCTTCCTCTTACTCTTCCTCTTCCTCATCCTAATCGTCCCTGCCTCCTCCTCCCTCCTCCTCCCTAACCCCTCCTCCCTCCTCCTCCTCCTCCTCTCCTTATCCGTCTGCTCCTCCTCCTCCGCTTCCTCCGCCTCCTTCTCCGCCTCCTCCTCATCCTCCTTCTTCTCATCCTCCTCCTCCTCCTCATCCTCCTCATCATCTTAAAATTTGCAACAGTGCCACGGATGCAGGGCTGGCAGTTTTCAAAATGTGGCTCTGACCTTAACGCCGCGCACATTCGTTTCAAAAAATGGCAAGGGCTTCACAAATGGAGGGCGGTTCCTTTTCAAAATATGGTCTCGCCGTAGCGCCGCGCACATTCCTCTTAAGAGTTTGCAACAAGTTCAAAAATGATTGTAGCTGACGTGCCAAAAATAATGTCTTGGAACGATGTCGGAATGTCAGGGCGCAACAGTCACGTTGATTCGCGGTGTTGAAGTCCCAAGAACGGTGTTCTCGCAAGATTCTGGGTCGTCCAGACGCAACAGTAACGGTGATTCGCGGCGTTGAAGTCCCAGAAATGGTGCTCTAGCACACTTGCGGATTTTCAGATGGTTGTCTTCCAACGGGGCACTTCCCCAAGTGATAATGAATCCGTGTAGGGGCCTACGAAAAGGGCACTTGGAGGGAGGGCTTACTGCAATGTTGTGTATGAGTTTGGGGTTTACTCTGGTCCTCCTCCTCCTCCACCTCCTCCACCTCCGCCTCCTCCGCCTCCTCCGCCTCCTCCTCATCATCCGCTTCCTCCTCCTCCTCATCCTCCTCCTCCTCGAAAAGATTCCCAGGAGGGCCCCAAGGGAAGGCTTCGAGAGGGCCCCAAGAGGCGAAGGCCGCGAAGGCCTTGTGCGGCTGACTCCTGATCCGTTCGCGCCTCCCTACTGCGCGTGTGCGCGTGTGCGCATGTGCGCGTGTGCGCATGTTTCGCGAGAGGCTAGAGCGTCCAAGATGGCCTCGGCGAGAAAGCCAAAATCATTGATTTTACGAAGTTGGGCCAAGTTGGGCCTCCAGGGGGGGAGACGCGAATTAGAATATCCTCCTTCTTTGATCGCTCACCTCCGAAATGGCCCCAAGATGGCCCCGAGAACCTTCCCGTCGTCCCCACGGCAGGCCATTCAGCATACGCCGAAAGTACGACAGGACTGTGAAGGTGAAGAGCGGCGGGCTGTCCCCCCTTCCCCTCACCTCGGCTTCACCGTATGCCCACATTCTGAGCCTCCTCCTCCCCCTGCTCATCATCATTCCCCTCCTGCGCCTTCTCTCCTCCTGGTCCTCCTCTTCCTCCTCCTCCTCCTCCTCCTCCTCCTCCTCCTCCTCTCCTCCTCCTCCTCCTCCCTCCCTCCTCCTCCTCCTCCTCCCTCCTCCTCCTCCTCCCTCCTCCTCCTCCCTCCCTCCTCCTCTCCTCCTCCTCCTCCTCCTCCTCTCCTCTCTCCTCCTCCCTCCTCCCTCCTCCTCCTCACTCCGCGGAGGGGCCAATCGTACCCCCAAACGGCGTGCCCCCTCGGCAGGCGGCAGGCCGGAGCCGGCCGCGGGCGGGCTCCACGTCCGCCGCCCCGCAGCCCCCGCAGCAGGAGCTCCCCGGCGGCGGCGCGCGCCGCGAACGCGCGCTCGTACAGGAGGGCGACGGCCTGGCGGCCAGAGCGCCGCGGCGCGCCGCGGCGCGCCGCGGCGCGCGCGTGCGCGCGCATGCGCGCGCGTGCGCGCGGCGGCGGGCGGAGCGCGCGGGGCGACGAGGCGTGCAGGCGTCGCGGCGTCGAGGCGCCGCGGCGGGCGGGCGGCCGGCGGACACAGCGCTCGGGCGACGGGCTGGCGGGCGACGGGCTCGCGCGGGAGACGGGCGGGCGGCCAACGCCGACGCCTCTCGCCTCGACGGGAGGGTGGGCGCGTGACATAGGCGGGCGACGGACTGGCGGTCGGCGTCGACACGGGCCCAGCGGGGCCGAGTGGCCCCGAGACTCGCGCTCCTGGCGCGAGAAACGGCGGCTTCTCCCCTCCTTTTCCCTTTTCCATCACCTTCACCATAAACACCATCACCACCACCACACCCGCCGCCATCGATCATCATCACGACTGGCAATAGCATCACCGCTTATCATAACCCATCTTATCCTCATCGTCATCATCATCACCATCAACAACATCACGATTACCCATCCACAAGTTATCCCAGGCAGGCCCAACAGTGGCTCGGGGACACAACATGGTTTCCAACAACGACCACCAGTCGGCAACTATACAATCCCCAAATGTATCCTGTCGCTTCGGTATCCCTAGCAGCATCGGAATCTTGAGTTGAAAATTGTCCCGGGCCTCAAGACGACCGAGAATTGGGCGACAGACAGATTCGCGATAGCGACACGATCAAAAGCCCAGATATCATCAAAAACATGATGGAC